GTAGTGAACCCTGAAGCAGTGGTTCTCAACTGCTGGGTCAGGTGGTCAATCGTGAACTCAAATCAGGTCTTTTTCCATACTGTTGGACCTGTATTTGCAACGTAGGAAAGCTGCTGGTCAATAGAAATAATGCAGTTTTAAAGTACAGTATGTCTACTTTAGCATCGATTTAAAACCCAGGAACAAAGAGCACTCTGTCCTCACAAGAGCAATGCTAAATGCTAATGTTTAAGCAGTTATAATTAGCATGTTCACCATTTTATTGTAGCTTGTTAATATGCTAACCTCTGCTAATTAGCCCTTGATAGAAAGGGCTGAGACTGTGGGGAATAACACCAGGTTCACTGTAAGTGTTATTTGGTCATACACCAAAGTAAGAGAAAACAGAAGCTTGATCCACATGAAGCTGAATGTGTCTGTTACATGGTGCTTCAGGAGAAATGGTTCAACTTTACTGTCCTGGACTTTCTTCCTGGTTTATACGTGGAGGATTTGGCACACAGTTGGAATGTTTGGCATTCAGTCGGTCTGTTTATTTAACTGTGACCAACGGAAAAGGACATTTCAACATCTGCAGAAGCACCTTTCCCACAGGTCCTGAGGTTAATCCCTGTGGACACCAACATTTATCCCAAAGCTCTGATACTAAAAATGGAATAATATATTCAAAACCAAGCGTAACCAAAATAGAAATGCACAGATTTCAGCATGCTTTATACCAGGGGTCTCCAACCTTCTTTCATCTGAGAACTACTTTCAAAAAATGAAAGTGGCCAAGGGCTACTTGCATCAAATCGCTTGCATTTATTTACATAGCTCAGCTGAATTAAGATACTGTTTGTATGTGTGAAATTGCAATAAGCCAATGCTTATCAATAATCTTAAATTCACATCAATGTCCAAGAAAACATTAGTACTTCATACTTGTTTTTATGGGCCAAATATATGAATAGTGGGAAGAGGTGCATTTACCGTCGTCAGATTTTTATTTTTATTTTTAACACAGTCGGTCAACCTATAGGCGAGCTACTGAAAACCTGTCCGCGGGCTACCAGTGGCTCCCGAGCTACCTGTTGGAGACCCCTGCTTTATACTCTCACTCTGTAGCCTGTATGATTCATTTATTCTCCCTCTGGCAGAGTGGGGATTAAACGTGACTGTTATTAAAGGTTGACCAGAGAGAAAGGGAAAAGTCTGAAATCAGATCAATAAAAGTAATGGCTGCAGAGAGAGAGAGAGCCATAGATTTTGGGGATTCAAGTGTTGGAAGTTATTAACAGGGAGAAGAAGAAAATGGAAATGTGCTGCAGTAGTCTCGCTGTTAGAGCTGCTGTGGAAAGCTTTTGATTAGTTTGGCATTAATGAGTCTGGAGCCAGTGTGGCAGAATGTTTCCAGGTCACAGCTTCCAAATTCAGCGTACTTCTTCCTCAAAAGGAAAAGATTTTGAGTTAATTTAGGTGGTGATGAAAAGCTTCATCAAAAGGATCAAAGTGTAAGCCTGCTTGGATGAACATCTGTTTCTGCACAGCTGCCTGCTCGTACTCTGCTGCAGAGAAAAACACCTTCTCATGTGTTGTTGTGTCAGAGGGCCAGCGGGAGCATGCACTTCAAGGGATGAGCTTGATAGTATACAGTATATACAAGGCATGAAAACACATTGTTAGGTCAATTTATGGACTTATAGTTTCTAGATTTCAAGATTTCTTTATTGTCATTCAGACTATAGCAGACAGGTACACGGTAGACCGCTGCTTCTTCTTCCTGATCAAGACACTAAACAAATTGAAACATATAAATATGTACTGTACATCTATGCAAATGTAATAGATAAAATTAATAATTCAGGTAAATATAAAAGTATTGATGTAAAATCAGAGAGGGTTATGGTACAGTAAAATAAGCACATGTATGAAAACACTGAACGATTATTTGATACACACATCCATGATGCACATAGCTCCCACACATAACACACACAACCTGACCATTTATATCTCTACAATGCCACTTGGTATGGTCATGTTTGATATTTAAGCAAAGTGTGGAAAGTGAAACCATTGTGTATATGCAGGAGTGTTACTCTAAAGCTGAATGATTGAACTCAAAATGGTCAGAGACCTCACAGAAGAAATCTTGGGCATATTGCAAAAATTAGAATTTATTACCATAAATAAGAAAAAATATTGGATGTCAACAACAAGTGATTCTTTGTCACTCAGCTTCCTGTTGTATGGAGTCCTGTGTGTAATGCCATGTATCACATGAAGTCAGATAAACGTGCTCATTTAGTGGTGACAAATCTGATTTTTTGACTTAGTAGGTACAAGTTGCAAACTAAGGCACGTAAAGCAGGTACAAATAGAAACAGTTTTTTATATTTGTTATTCTCTCCCACTTCATATTGTCATTGTATTATTTATTAGGTGCAAGCCTACAGAAATACTGTCCTTGAATTTTCTAACAGACAAATGTATTTAACATGTTTAGTTGTACCTTTTACAGATTTTAGAATAAGATGTTAATCATTTAAATATTTTAAATAAAAGTGAAGTGCCTATAACCAATCACCTTCAGACAATCAGCTGCAGCACAAGCATGAATGTAGCTAGAATTAAACAGCAGAATAAACCTTCCACACCAGAGGACTCAACAAACCCACAGACAAAAAACACTTTGTTCATTTTCTCTCCTGTGTTGTCACAGGATGCACATGGCATGACATCCAACATCAATTAAGTAACATTAGCTCAATGCAGTTAGATTTTGACTCTTCATTCAATGGAACAGAATAAGTGACATTTTGAAATAGCTAAAAGGACTGGACAACAGTTCAAAGGCAAGAGCAAAGCTTGTCCTGAGAACATGGCTTATACCAGACTATGCCAAGAAAAACATGATAATTAATCTCACAAAAAATGTGATGACTTATTTATTTTCTTAAAAGTGAGGTTGCTCTTTATTGTCACGTAGTTCTGCAGTGGGAGGTGGTACATGGAAGGAAACATTTGGTAACCTAAGTGGGCCACGTCCTGTCTGTACTTAATGTCAGAAACTCTGAGGATCAAAATCATCTTTTAGTTAAATATACCTGTTAGTCTGAAATTTCAGACAGTCCTTATGTGACACCCTGCCCCACCAGTCTGCTGCTGTTTTTCATTAAAAGCTAATGAATGAGGCCAAATTCTTCTTCTGTTTTGAAATACAGTATTGATTCTCATAGCTTATTTCTTTTCTCTCTTACCTCTAATGTACAAACATCAGTAAATCAAAGTCTCCCGTTATGGCGTTCTGTTTTCAGCTTGAATGAAGTGAAATGAATTTGCCGTAGCTGCTGGATCAGAACTTTACGATCATTGTAACACAAAGGAGGAAATGACTTCAGCAGGACCTTTCACACATATCTGCCCAAGTGTGTGTGTCAGCTCTGCATGTGTGTGTGAGAAGCAGAAATGGAGAGATGAAGTTTACAAGCTTGTGTAAACTGGCTCTTCCTCCTGAATAAAACCTCAGAATGTGATTTCAGTATCAGCTGTCATTGAATAAATGTTCTATTACAACATTTCAGATGCAGCTGTGAAAGTTATATCATCCCATTAGATGTTGTTTGTTGTGAAACCATTGGACCTCAAACTATTTACATTCTATTGCAGTTTATATATATATGTATATGTATGTATACATGTATGTATATATTGAAGCAGTACCTTTATACTCTGTGTGGGCTACATGTGCTGTTTCTTCCACAATTAAAGGCTGTGTTCCTAATTTTCCCAAACTATTTGCACTCTGTTTATTGGATCCACACATCCTCTACTGTTCTATTTCTTCACCTTCTTTGCTTTTTTTTCTCCATCTGTCGCCTGTTACACCTTCACTCCCTTCATTTTATTTTACTGCGCCTCCTTTCTTTCCTATTGGGCTAAGCTGTATTCATGGGTGAAGTCTCATTTATTAGGCTGTAACAGGGTTCAGAATTCAGTATCTGTCTGCAGTTACAAATCATCCTCCCTCTGAGGGATGTCTCACCAGATGCCCTGAGTGCAGAGATGTGATGCAGTCTCAGTAGGAGTGGCCTCTAAGGAGACCGGTTGTTAAATAGCAGGAGGGTTTGGGGGTCCCATCCCAGCTGTGATGAAGCTGGAAGGTGCCTAAATTGTTAAATGAAGCCTCGAGCGATATGGAAGTCAGGGATCAGAGCTGAGCTGATGGCCCAGTCAGGGAAGAAGGAGGGCTGCCGCACTGTGGGGCTGCAAAGCTCTGAGCATTAAGCAGCAGCTCCCTCACTGCTCTGCTGCACCGGCCTGCTGTCGTGGCCTTGCCAGGTTCCTAATGACTGACTTGCTGCCGAGGAGCTTGTGTCAGCACTTTCAAATGGCTTTCGTTCTGCGTGCATGCGGCCACTGAAAGCTTTCCTGCACCGACACCGGCAAATGAAAAATATATTGGAGGAGGCCGGTTAGACGGTCACAATCACTGCACCACAAGTGTGTTCTCACTGTCATTTATCAGCAGCTCTACAAGAAACTACTTCAAAGAACAAGTGTTGTATGTTGTAGTGGTGTGTTTACAGAACGCTGCTTTCACTCTGAACAATCATCAGGTATAGGTCTTTCCTGCATGTAATAATGAGAAGTTTTACTCCTGGATATCAAGTATTTCTGGATTTTCTTTTTTGGGGGTCGAGTAACCCCTTTCACATTAAACAATGAACTTCATCCATTTGTTTGAATTTTTTATCTGCTGCTTTAATATTTTTGATAAACAAGTGTTTATCTGCAACCATAGACTGTGGACTGCATAAATAACGGACATAGTCTTTAGTCATTGTGACGACACCCATTGGCATTTCATTTGCATATTGAAACCCTGATTTCAGCATTTTGTTTTGTTTGACTTTAGCAGCCAAGTGGACACTTGAGGCACTGCAGTTCTTTGCACTCCCAAATTGGCTTCATTTTCCAACACTGAAGGTTGATATTTGTCTGTTTTTCCTCTTCAGGATGGACAGTTAAACATTACTAGTAACCCTGTATGGTGTGGAGGAATGAGGGCCTCTGGATGAAGGCCATGGAGCTGAAAGTGTGGGTGGATGGAGTCCAGCGCATCGTGTGCGGGGTCACAGAGTTCACCACATGCCAGGAGGTAGTCATTGCTTTGGCTCAAGCCATTGGTAAGCTCAAAACTACTTTTGACTATGTAACTTATACTATGATTACCTTTTGTTTTTGCAGGTGGACAAAATCCAAGAGGAATTTAAATACACATGTTTTTTTAAAATCAAATAACTTACACAACCTAAAGGAGCAGGTTGAACTTCTTTGCAGAGAAAACTTAAAGTGGTGTATTACTAATCCCTTTGGGCATTATCTGTAATGTGGGTTGTGTCCAATACTGGCCAGGCAGGATGTCAGACACACTGGAGATGATAAATTGCAGCAAAATGAAAAGTGACTTGAGGGCACAAAGAGATTTTCACCATAAATGGGCTGAACAGAACAAGATGAGTCATGCTGCAGACTTTGGTTTTATTGACACACTGTGCAGGGAAGTTAGTTGGCACTTTGTCTGAGTTTGTCATTGCATGGATTGTTTTGGACATCTAGCGTTGTGAATTCATAAGAACATGTGCTTTTACTTGAAATCTATGTGCTGTTTTTAAAAAAAAAAATGGACTGATATTTTACAAGGACTTCTCACCAACCTCAAGAGATTAATAGTTACAACATGCGTGGCTTTCACAGTGTCAGTGTAGCAGGGGTTATAGCTTTCACCGTCCTTTGTGCTCTATGTGCCTTTTGTCCAGATCAGGGCACTTTGATGTGAATGGCTTCTTTTACAAGGACCCAAAGTGTGTAGGAAGAGGAGAACTTTTAGAGCACATTTCTATTCTTCCCACTCTTCAGTGTTTACACTACAGACCATTCAGACATGAGGATACAGTTGAAGGTGACAACCTGCTCTGGTACTGGATCTTTGAATCAGGATGGATGAGGAAAGAAACACAAGACATTTTTGGTAGTAGTTTTCCCAACACAATCACTTGTCTAATGAGTTTAATTTTCCCACTGGGATTTTCTTTCACAATACATGCCAGTAAAACTATTTGGAACTCCTAGCACAAACGTGGTCGAGTGGTAAAAGAATTCATTGAAACTGTCTGTTGCTTCCTTTCATTATTGCTTTTCACTCTGATCTTAATTGATTCAGACTGTACCTGGCATATTAATGCTCCAAGTTTCTTCCGGATGTTGACAGCAAAACAAAGAAAGTGAATTGTTTTGTTTTTTTGTTGAGTTGTCTTTGGGGCCTAGAAAAGACCATTGAGGAATACCTCAGGATCCAGCAGACCTCCCAGGAAGAGAGCAGCAGCAAAGTTCTGATGAACAAGCACGAGCTGAACAATCAAAGGTTATCATACCTGATAAACTTAGGGATTTTCTTTTGGGCACATTGTAAAGTTGACTTTAGTACTAGTCAAAATGTTTAAAAAAAGACTGAACAATAAATAAATGACCATAATGATTTTGAACAATTTAAATATATCTCTGTTTAGTTGTGACTGTGTGTTAAAGAGGATAAACTGCTGCATGTAAAGTTTATAATATGATATTAGACTATCAGTCGTAGTCCACTTCAGAAAGTGCGATATAAAAGACAGGCCAGAGGTTTTGGATGGTTAATACTTAACATTATCCTCCAAAGTGCTCTGACAAACACGCCGGAAAAGAAGTTTGCACGGTAAGATAGTGTACAGGAAGAAATATGGAATGGAACATTATGTTCTTCAGTTGTGAAGGAACAACATTAAAGCCAAACAAAGTAAGGTCTTTGTCTGATCATAAAATAAAAAAGGAATACAACAACTCCATAGGTGTGTTGATTAAAATGTTGCTGAAACTAATTGATGCATGAAGTTATATAGTCTGTTTTAAACTAAGCTCTAAGACGAAATGTGAAATAAACCAGCCTGTCTTTTCCCATGCTGGTAGAGAAAACACAATCTGAAATCTCTATACAGTAATTAAGCTCCACACCAATGTGTTATTTTATCCTAGGACGAACTGGCAGGTACACCTTGATCGAAAAATGGCGCGAAACAGAACGTCACCTGGCCCCGCATGAGAACCCTGTGGTATCCCTCAACAAGTGGGGTCAGTATGCCAGCGACGTCCAGCTCATCCTTCAACGGACCGGCCCCTCTGTCAGTGAGCGGCCGACGTCTGACGGGCAGTCTCGCGTCCCAGAGCGGAGCTTCTACCGGCAGAGCCTACCTCCATTGGCCAAGCTCCGCCCATTAGGGACAGACCGCTCGCTCAAAAGAAGGGAACCCAAGCGCAAGTCTCTGACCTTTACTGGAGGGGCAAAGGGTCTGAGGGACATATTTGGGAAAGTCAGAGATGCTGAAGGTATACTTTTAGTTTTTTTCCAGTATATTTAAAGGCTTTTTGTGTGATTTTTTGATCCAGCAGATGTTGCCCTTGAGCACCAACATGAAACCAAAACAACTTGCGCTGCATCGTTGTGTTAGCATGCTAATGCTAGCAATCTTTATTATGCTCGTATCTTCACACTGCATGTAAATTTACCTGAAATGAGCGTGATCTAGAAACACAGTTAAGCAGTGAGTACAGTATGTTATTCTTCTTCTCTCTAGTCCCTCAATTAAACTACTTTTATACATGAGGGGAGGAGTCAGCCGGTTAGGGTTAGGGTCCCGGCGATGTAAACAAACTGAAGATAGGACTCTGAAAACTCTGAAAGCACCACAGACAGTGGGAATTGGGTGTTACACCCATTGTAGACAGTCATGACTCACAGAGTTATTTTCAGAGGATATACTTGATTTCTATTATATTTAAGAGTGAAAAATCACATATTAAGCCTTTAAGGGTACTATTGTTAGTGGTAGTTGTTTCAGTTCTTTTAGAAGTCCAGGATTTCCCTCCCTTCTTTTCTGCTTCTAATTGTCATCATCCATCTAGCCAAACAGAGCCAGCAGCGTGGTGTGAGTCTCAATCTGAACAGGGTTGGAGGTGTTGGAGTAGCGTCCGTACCTGGGAGTCCATCCAGAGAGCTGAGGCGGTTGGTGCAGCTGCAGAGAGACAAAGTTCAGGCCCTGGAGAGTCGTCTGCTGGGCTGCAAGGCAGAGCTGCAAGACTGGGAGGAGGCCACCGGCGAGTCCAATGAAGTCAGTGAAACTACAGCTGCCAGCACTGTTACTTAACCGTGTGCAGAAAATTATTGTTATATTGTGTTTGGGCAGGAAGGTTTCCAGGTTTGATAATTTTTCTCTTACCAGGAGGCACATTTAGAAGAGGAGCTGCTGCTTTTAGAACAGCAGGTGAGGAGGAACGATGCAGAGATGGAGGAGGAGGAATTCTGGCAGAACGAGCTGCAGATCGAGCAGGAGAGCGAGCGACAACTCCGGCAACAGCTCGCCGAGCTGCAGGGTGGCGTGCGCGACTGTGAGGCCAAGCTCTCAGAGTACTTAACACGCATACAGGTGAGCAAGAAACCATAAAGAAGACAACTGGATCCACTGAATTCTTTCTTCTATAAACTCACCATGTCTCTTAAACAAACCCTTACCAGTTCTTCCATTTGATCCTAATGTGACGTCCATGCAGAGTATGGAGGCAGGTCTCCAACAGGAGCAGCAGTTGCAGGAGGCGGAGCTTAACCAGAAGGTCAATGAGGAGGAGGTACAACACACACACACACACACACACACACACACACACATGGGGTAGCGTTCAAAGAGAACAGGAAATAGCACAATTGCTTTTCATCCACCCTGTTCAAACACAATAAATCATATCCAATAGATATCGTTTTCAACAAAGAGGTCATAGGAGATTTCTGAATGTAAAGCTAGTGTAGCTAATGTAAAAACAAGGTGGGCTTCAACACGACCAAACTCAAGAATTCTGAAATGTGAGGTTCAAAACAAATCATGAAACAGCGCAGTCTTCTCAACACATTCAAACATGAACAAGTCCTTCTACATCTTTTCTGTGAGGATGAATGACTCCTGCCCATCTCTTCTGAGAAGTTTTTTTTCTCTCTGAAAAGTCACTCTGCCTCTGGTTTACAGGTGCAATCACAGCTGGAGAAAATGAGCACAGAGCTGGAAAAGCAGAGCCAACACACGGCCCGGCTGGAGAGCAGCTGCAAGGCGTTGGAACGCTCACTTGGCCAGTCCAGCAAGAGATTACAGGTCAGCTTAGGTCCTACTCTTTAACACTGTTATCTAAAGCAGGTAGTTTGTGCTCATGTGATGCTGGAGGTCGTTATTGGAATTTAATTTAAGGATATGTTTAAAAGAATACTCATTAAAAAGTTGATGCTTCTTTATGCCCCAGTCCTCTCTGCACACGGGTGAAACCATAGAAATCTAAACTCATTAAGCTGTGGGCAGTGAAGCACAGTTGAATCTCGTAGGGATGCACGATGGATACTTGGCTACATGAATCCTAGTTCAGAAAAGTGCTCTCTGTACAAGCAGGGTCCAGCAGGGTGTGGATAGCATGAAGTAATTAGATGGGGAAGAGAGGGAGGGTATTACAGCATTCTTCGCCTGATTAGAGAGGGGCCTGAATAAGTACACAATCCCTCGCCTGTGGTTGCGTAACCATCTGGGCGCTAATGCTACTTTTAAGCTGTCTCCTTCTGGTTATGACTTTTGGAGAAACCCTGAGCAGAGTATGATCTATTATTGTTTTTTTATACATGTTAAATACAGCAGCTTATAATGCAACAATATAAAAGTAGGAAGAATGATGCTTGTTTTGCACCGGGTTTGAATAACCAGTGTGTTCAAGCCCTTTTTCTGCAGCCACTATCTCCACGTTTCATAATGCACATTGAGTGTGTTATTGATCTCTTTAGTTGTCATTGTGTTTTTTCCCATCACAGGAAAAAGAGCAGGAGCTGGAGCAGCTGACAAAAGAGCTCCGACAGGTCAACCTGCAGCAGTTCATTCAGCAGACTGGTACCAAGGTCACCGTGTTGCCCGCTCTGCCTGCAGGAGAAAACAACAAAGGCACGTATACACTCTCATATAACAGATACTCTATTACTCTCCAGATCACCATGTTTAAATGTGAAAAAAGTTCAATTTCATGGCTAAACACATTTAAACTAAGATGCTTTGATAACAAAGGTTGTTTTCACATTGTTGTGTACACAGTGCCACCCTGTGGTCATCCTGAGAATGACATGTTTGATGATATATTTGCTGTGCTCCAGAAGCTGAAGTCTCTAACCCCATTACACGGACCAAATCTGTGGCAGCTCTAAACACACTGCAAGACTTTAACAATGACTCAGAAGAAAATCCTTTTTGTCATTCTCAAAAGATTTAACCTCCAGCGGAAATATGTACAATAAGCTGAGAAGTAGATAGATCCCAGATGGAAAGAGTAGTTCAAAGGTCAAACTGTAAAATCAAAGTGTGTGCCTTGTCCTTGACTGCTTTCTATTGTTTTGCTACAGAAGTGGAGTCTGGTTCTCTGAAGCGACTTGGCTCTTCTCGGCTTTTGCCCAGCGACCTCCGCGCTCTTCAAAGCACCATGTCCTCCAGCCTCAACCCCGAGGGCATCTACGTTTGATCCTTAAAAAGACTGTTCAGCCTGCAGCGTGATTGGATGTTACCAGGACCTCAAACTTAACTTCACAAACTGCTGAAAAGAAAAAGTGAGGACGATGTTAAAACATCTTAAGGATGAAGACAGTTCTGAGAGAAAGACTTTCATATGTTTTGCTTCTTTTTCCATCTTTGAAGGACAGAGACTCAAACTGATGCCAGTATTCATCATAAAATCACTCTCAAGTCTACAAAAGCTCCATTTTAACAGTTCAAAACAAATACAAGCTAGCAGAACTATTGTTGTCAAACAGTGCAGATTCACTTAATTTTGATGTTGGTTAATCTTCATTTCATTTATTAAAGGTCACATTTGATGCATATTATGCATGTTTTTCTAACAGGAATATGTGTATATGAAAGTCAAGACCATCTCCTTCCAGAGAGGGGGCGTGGTCAGATACAGCTCATTTACATATTTAAAGGTACAGACACACAAACAGCCTGTTCTGAGCAGGGTTTATAGGCATGATCAAATACAGGATCAGAGTGGAATTAGAACAAGAAACTTCACGGACATGTTTTGAGGAGCTCTGAGTCTTATTTACACTGGTTGATAAAGAGTATAGTGTGTGACCTTTAAAATATGAGAAGAAGAAGAAGATGTACTTTATTGATCCCGTGAGGGGGAATTCAATTTTACACTCTGTTGTTGAACATGCTACACACACATATAAGCTGACATACACACACATGCACAAACAGGATCCTCTGGACATGCACTAATGGAGAGATGTCAGAGTGACGAAGCTGCCCACAGGGGGTGCTCCGGAGCTGGTGGGCACTTCGGCAGTGCTCAGGAAGTGAGTGATAAAGACATTTGTAAACATACTCCACTGCACGAGCATGCACAAACACCTGTGCTACTAGCATATCTGATGCCTTACTCTGCTGTTGTCTAAACCAGGTGTCATGAAGTCTAAGGTTGAGAAAGAACTCAAGGGAGATCATGAACTATGCGCAAATATATCATTGATGAAATACTTCTAAGCACCACTTCAGGTGATTCATTGTCATGGTTACTGATGTCAGCATTACTGAACATTGGCTCTTTTTTACGCAACCTTGATTATCTGTATAATTTTTTTTTTTGGTGATAAATTAGCTTTTTGTGTTTGATGAAAAGGGGAATAAGCAAAATGAAGAGAAGATAGGAGAAACTTAAACTATTTACCATTCAACGTTTTATGGGTGAAAAATCTTGATTTCTTTTTTGTATAAGAGACATTTATATCTTTTTTTTCTCAGTTGAACAGTTTTACAAACTTTTGATTTGTTAACAGTGACCTGCTTTTCCCCATTCTGACCACCAGGTGGCAACAATCATATACTATTCAGAAAGTTTACTTTTGGAAAGTTGCTCCTGGCATGATGTCATCTGTCTTCATGACTGTATTTGACTGTGCACATTATTTGATGACAAAACCTCAGAAAAAGAGATGTCATTGTTTAATCAGAGGTACCTAACATGTTTTATTCATTAAGCAGGGACTCCAACCCCACACATTCTCTTTTTTTCTAATATTATAACAAACTAAAAATGTCTCACATGAACCAAAGCTAGTGTTAAAACAAAACTAGTTAGATGAATGTACTTCTTTTATATGTATGCAGTGTATCACCTTTATTCAAATAGTAGTTACACATGTTGAGATGGAGACACAGGATAAAACTGAAAACTGAATGTTTCACAAACGTGACAAAATAAGTCAGCAGCCAGTCTCAGAAAATATTTCCTGATCAAATGAAGACTCTTACAACAGAGAGACCAGAACACAACATATTTGGATATTTCATGATTTGATCTGTTCTGGGTTGTGATTCATTATTATGATCACAGCTCTCAGGACATTTTTCCTTCAAATACAACCAACATGCTTTTTTAGCTGTGAATCATTTCTGAGTCTGTGGCTGTATATCAAACATGTAGAAAAGATTGCCCCCCCCCTCTTTTTTTAGGCATTACCGTGCTTTGGGCTGTGAAAATTACAGTGGAATTAAAATTCAATTCCATTTGGAAAATTGGAGGTTCACAATTTTCTTCTTTGACAACAGAAAACTTTAGTTAACACCTGAGAACAGACTGAGAGTGTTTAAAGAAACACCATACTTTTACTCATTAGCTGTTTTAGGTTATCCATTTCATTTTCTGTATTATCCTTTTTGTTTCCTTTCAAAGGGAAATGATGCATTCACCAAGCTAGAATAAAATAGTTACAAGTAGCCCAACCTTTACCAGTTACAACATTAAAAACATACTAACATCATTTTAATCATATGATATCTTTCTGGAAGGGGCTTTTCCATCTCGACGGTACCTGATTATATTTACACACTGATGTGTGTCCATTATTTGTTTAGCATGACTTTTTATTTATCATGTGTATTTCTGCATCTACTCTACTTTTCAACAAATTCACTACTCTTTTTTTCCCCCCAAAACCTAGTTTACAACCACAAGCTTTTAAATGATTCATTGCCGCAAGCTGAATTTCCTACTGGCCCGTGTTTGAGCCAATAGGAAGCAACTTGTGTTTGCACTGTGAGTGCACGTTAAAGTGTGAGGGATCTTTCTTTGTCGTTTACTCTGCAGTGCAAAGACAACCAGAGGAAAACTCCCCCCACACTACGATCATCATGACAACACCTTGAGTTTCAACGTCTGTTCATACTTCCATTTCAATAATGGCATGCCTTACTGATAAGGAAATGTAAATAAGGTCTACATAAAACTCTATCAAAGTAGATTGGAGTGTGAAATATGCAGAGTGCCAGAGAGGGGAGATTTTAATGGTATCTCAGTGTGCATGCAATAATGTGTGATTGGTCTTATTCTACCAGTTCTTCTGTGATTAATTGTGTTTTTGGTTTGTTGTGTCCCCTTTTGCCTTGTTGACATTTACACTGATGGAGATTAAGCTTTGGTAAAGAGCAGGCCAACAGGTCAGTACATAATAGCAACATTTTAACAAACCAGCACATTGTTTTCTAACCTTTTTTTATTCAAGTCTGGAAAACACATACATATATGGATGTAAGACAAATCTACATTTCTTTGAAACATGGCAGAAGTTTCCGTAAATTTCTGGCTGTATCTGTTTTTTTTACTCTTGTCTTTGAGACATTGCCATTATTTTTCTGTTGTGCCATCAATGATGTTTTATTTTTATATATATAATAATGCAATGATGCAGCCATTATGAAAAGAGCCATGAAGTGGTTTTGAAAGTCATTTTAGGAACGTGTGGCTCAGGGATGTTTCAAAATGGAACATTGTCTAAGAAAGAATAGGCAGAAAGTAAAAATGCTGTTTATGATGTCTGAAGCCATTTGACAAGTTAAATCAAATTACTTCTCATGGGAACTTGAGTTTAACATGTAGCATTGGCTCTAAAACAATAAAAAATATTATGGAATGAGGATTTGGCGAAGAGAGGATTGTGATTTTTCTTTGAAAAAGAAAGTGTTTCTGGTGGCTCATGGTACATGTAGTAATACACGTTCTCTCTTGTATAAAGATACATGTACAGTAAGCTACAAGAGTGAAGAAGACATGGCAACTCATCAAATGTGTTTACATGAGCATTTCACTTTAAACATCCTGCGGGCTAATATCACCGGCTTACATGAACTCAACAATCACACAAGAGAAATGATTGTGTATGTGATTTTGTAATGTACCTAGCCTACTTTAATTTTTAGCTCTCAGAATATTACCAATTTATTCTTTGGGTCAGCAACAATGAAGACAGGAACATCCAATTCAAGAACAATGTAAAATAATAAATGAATAAAATATATTTAAAGCAATTTCATTTTGGGTTTATTTTGGCTGTGGTAAGTGCATGTGGGACATTTTCTAATTGAAAACTCTATTCATTGTTGTGTTTGAGAGGTAAATGTTATTTTGTATTTACAGTGGGTACGGAAAGTATTCAGACCCCTTTACATTTTTCACTCTTTGTTTCATTGCAGCCATTTGCTAAAATCAAAAAAGTTCATTTTATTTCTCATTAATGTACACTCAGCACCCCATCTTGACAGGAAAAAAACAGAAATGTAGAAATTTTTGCAAATTTATTAAAAAAGAAAAACTGAAATATCACATGGTCATAAGTATTCAGACCCTTTGCTCAGTATTGAGTAGAAGCACCCTTTTGAGCTAGTACAGCCATGAGTCTTCTTGGGAATGATGCAACAAGTTTTTCACACCTGGATTTGGGGATCCTCTGCCATTCTTCCTTGCAGATCCTCTCCAGTTCTGTCAGGTTGGATGATGAACGTTGGTGGACAGCCATTTTCAGGTCTCTCCAGAGATGCTCAATTGGGTTTAGGTCAGGGCTCTGGCTGGGCCAGTCAAGAATGGTCACAGAGTTGTTCTGAAGCCACTCCTTTGTTATTTTAGCTGTGTGCTTAGGGTCATTGTCTTGTTGGAAGGTGAACCTTCGGCCCAGTCTGAGGTCCTGAGCACTCTGGAAGAGGTTTTCTTCCAGGATATCTCTGTACTTGGCCGCATTCATCTTTCCTTCAATTGCAACCAGTCGTCCTGTCCCTGCCGCTGAAAAACACCCCCATAGCATGATGCTGCCACCACCATGTTTCACTGTTGGGATTGTATTGGGCAGGTGATGAGCAGTGCCTGGTTTTCTCCACACATACCGCTTAGAATTAAAGCCAAAAAGTTCAATCTTGGTCTCATCAGACCAGAGAATCTTCTCATAGTCTGGGAGTCCTTCATGTGTTTTTTGGCAAACTCTATGCGGGCTTTCATATGTCTTGCACTGAGGAGAGGCTTCCGTCGGGCCACTCTGCCATAAAGCCCCGACTGGTGGAGGGCTGCAGTGATAGTTATCTCTGGAGCTCAGCCACAGTGATCTTTGGGTTCTTCTTTACCTCTCTCACCAAGGCTCTTCTCCCACGATTGCTCAGTTTGGCTGGACGGCCAGGTCTAGGAAGAGTTCTGGTCGTCCCAAACTTCTTCCATTTAAGGATTATGGAGGCCACTGTGCTCTTAAGAACCTTGAGTGCTGCAGAAATTCTTTTGTAACCTTGGCCAGATCTGTGCCTTGCCACAATTCTGTCTCTGAGCTCCTTGGGCAGTTCCTTCGACCTCATGATTCTCATTTGCTCTGACATGCACTGTGAGCTGTAAGGTCTTATATAGACAGGTGTGTGCCTTTCCTAATCAAGTCCAATCAGTTTAATTAAACACAGCTGGACTCCAATGAAGGAGCAGAACCATCTCAAGGAGGATCAGAAGAAATGGACAGCATGTGAGTTAAATATGAGTGTCACAGCAAAGGGTCTGAATACTTATGACCATGTGATATTTCAGTTTTTCTTTTTTAATAAATTTGCATTTACATTTCTGTTTTTTTTCTGTCAAGATGGGGTGCTGAGTGTACATTAATGAGAAATAAAATGAACTTTTTTGATTTTAGCAAATGGCTG